TCTTCTACCATGCTTTTATGGTGTAACGTCCGCGTATTCTAGAGGTCCAGGTTCGAGTCCCGGAAAAGGCATCGCTCATTTTTCATGTCTTCTGCTGTAAAATAACGTATTGACTCTACAAAGTCTCTTTTATAACCATTTTCGTTGTTGGAATTTTGAATTTGTTTCATAAATTGTTTGTTTCATATTTCACAGAATTTGTTTCATAAGATTACATGTGTTTATGATATACCAGTTCTCTTTCCCATTTTGGCAAAAGACATTAAGTGGATCTTGCATCGACAGCTGTTCACAATAAACAGTTACTATTTGATGGAGACTGACGTCTCAGTCTGTAGTAGGAAATTGCTTTCAGTCATTGCTGTCTAAAGCATAGAACTGGACTTTATTTCCACTTTAGAAATATTCGACAAGCTTTATTCAAAGAAGGACAGAGACGAAATTGACGTTATCAGACTAAGTCTGCTTTTCCAGTTGAAGAATATTTGACTGAAACATTTTCCAGTCAAACCAGAGCATTCAGATAGAAGGTTTTTCTTATTTTTAATCTCTTGGAGATTCAGAGAAAAATTTATTTTCGTTTACTAGATCCGCACTAAAGATATATATTTATTTATTTCTTATAAAGCTATTGACATTTTTATAAGGAATGACAGGCATATGCTTTCATGTTAGATCAGCTGCAGAATTTACTAATGATATAGCTGCTTATATTACCTAAACATATATAACCTGTACGGTTACCTTTTTGAGCGAGAATAAATACACTTCAGTCTAAAGAAAAAGCAGATTGTTTTATTACAGACTGTAGTCTTACTCTTAAAAATGCGTTTCGACAGAAAATTTAAGATCTTCCCAAAAATTAAATTCTAATATTAACGAATCAGCATATTTCCCTTGTTTTTATAATAATATTATTATTAGTTCAAAGGAGCGTTACCTCCGAAGGGCTATTAGTCTCGGAACGGGATTTTGCTTTGAATCGCAGTGAAAGACTCAATCACTTTTCAAATTGTTGCCACCAAATATTACCGCCCTGCATTAATTTCAAAGAAATTAAATAAAGGAGAAAATACATGAATGAATGTATATTTCTTGTGTTATTAAAAAAAAAAAAAAAAGATGGTACCTAACGGCATCAAATTTTGAACAAAGTAATCCTCCACTCATACATGGGCACCTGGAATCCCGAATTTTGGATTTCGAATTTGTTTTATTACCTATTTCCCATTTTGAAAATCTTTAACGAATTTTTGATTTCAAAACTGAACGATTTCAAAGTGAGCAGTGGCAAAACTGTGTGGGGGAAAAAACATTTTTATCCCCAGCGCTCTGGAATATCTATCGGAAATTCTAAAGCTACGCTGTTTTTAAATATTTTGTGATATTTTTGTTGAATTGAGTTTTGTGTGGTATAAGTGAGAAGAACAGGATTTTTAATAAATAAAGGTAACGCACAAAACGTTAAAAACCACCCCATTAAGCTTAATATAAATATATAATAAAATCTGAATGCTTTGAGTTTATTATTATTATTATTTCTTTCATTTACTCCACTAATTAATGGTTTCATATTTAGAATTATTTATTTGATATTTTCTATGAACATTATTCCTAAACCTTTAGCCATAATTATATAAGTCAATAATAGCATTACCATTACGTAATATAAAGGCAAAAACCAGTTATCACTGTTTAAATTTAGAAACCAGTTGTCAGTGCGAATGATAATCAAGTTAGAAATTTATCTTAAGTTATATTTCGAGCAGACAGATGGCGGAAAACAATCGTGTGCATCAACCAGTAAATTTGCTGTAATAGCGTTTAGTGTATTTTGTTTAGTTAATCTAATGCATTTGCAAATGAAAACTGATCGTCAAGATCATATATAATGCAGGATATATGATCAATATGTTGCAAAATGTTCCTGCATTATATATGATGGATCAACCAATCCAATGAAAATATGTTGCAAAATTATCCTGCATTATATATGATGGATCAACCAATCCATCATATATAATGCAGGATAATTTTGCAACATATTTTCTCCTTTTATTATAACATTTTCCAATTTGTGAATACTATCATATTAATTCACGAATTTAACACTGGAAAAGATAAGAACTATTTTACAGTTAGGTATTTTACTTCTTATTTGCCCAAGCATGTTGCGCCTTACACACCTTTTTACCCCTATTTCACATCTTCTTCATGCGAAGTCATATATTTAACTGCCTTTGTCTCCAAGCAGAACATCGATGGCAAGGATAATCTAATTCTTTATAGTTTCTAATTAATGAAATACGGTTCTAAAGAAGATTTTACTTTATCTCTGCATGGCACATAATACTCAATTCAAAAGCAACAGATCTGGAAAAATCAAAATCCTTAAGCACAAACATTTTCACAAGCATAAGATACAGAACTAATACGAATATGACCCTAATTTTAAATCAGAATTAACTCAATTAGCGATAAAAGACTGTTAGACATCAATGCATTTTCAATTTACTTTATAAAATAATTTCTGCAGTATAATTTCAGCTTACGACTTTTTTATAAAGCATGTAGCTGTCTTCCGCCATTACAGGATGCAATAAGGTCTTGAGTACAGGTTAAGACTGCAATGGATTCCCGAGGAAAGGGTCCTAGAAATTCACACGTTCTTAGGTTTTCCAAAATATTAATTAAGAAAATGGACATCACAAGTCTTCGAAAATATGATGCGCTAAGAGCTCCAGACAGCTTTAGTCGAGCCATGAGTTCAGTTTATTAGAAAAGACGCTCATTCTATTACTTAATCAGGATCTACTGACTTTCCACTTTATTTGCTTTGCAAAATACGACTATTTGTTAACATGTGCGATTTTAGTTTAGTAATTTGTCGCGTCCGTTGTGTGTACACATGACAGTATTTGCACCGAATTGCCATAGAAAAGTTATACTTAAATGCATGTATTTATTTAATTTCAAAATTTAGATTAATTGTAATTTATGAAAATGCACCCATTGAAAATAAAAACGATTATCACTTACTGTAGATTGAAAATTAAACTCCCATGACATAAATACTCAACCTTATTTTTAACATACTGTAAGGAATTTTGTACATAAATAGACGATTTTAGTGTAACTGCATGTTGAATTGCTGTATTTCTTTCGTATAATGTAAAGCGAAAAATCTTAAGTGAGAAGCTATGCCGGAAAAGTAAGATTGCAAGAGAAACTCCATTTAACCTTAACTAAATGGGTATCTTGGTAATTTTGCGAGATATCGCGAAGCTGACAACGGTTTTGGCGACTCTTTTGTCGCCGTTTGGCGATAAATCGCCAAAGGTTGCCAAACTTGGCGACCATTTAACGAAATTTTGATCCTGTCTCTATATTACCATAATAGGTACTGTAACTGAATAAATGTAATTGATCACTGCATTAGCTGCCACCTTAAATCGACCCTCATATTGCTTTCCAGTAATTTCGACTAGCAGAAAGTACTAGAAATATCTCGGCGGCTGGTGGAAAATTATATAAGGCCGGAGAGAGCATTTGCCCTCAGTCGCTTAGTTATTGTTGTTGCCAGTTGTTTGTTGTTTAGCATGAACTTAAATATATTCGAGTTAGCTTTCTCTTTAGATGCGCTTTGCATTGCATTGTGCTCTTAGTTTGAAGTGTTCTTAGTAGTGAGGTTTATTGGGAACGTTCTTAGTAGTTTGAAGCGTAGTTACTGAATATGCTATAATACCTTGAACACCTGTTCGAGAATTTCTGTGGAAAATTTCAGAGCTTTCTGTTTCTTTTGATATAAATAAATTTTACTAACCTATCATCGGACCTGTGTGCATTTAACTTTGCGTATTACGACCCCATACGCAAGCAATAGCACAATAATATAGTGATACCAAACAGGCACCCTTAGTAAGCAAATGAACTTGATTCAAAAATTGACATTTGTGCATAACATAAGAACAAATAAACTTAACAACCTTCTATTATGCTGAAGCACAAGTAAATTGAAATAATTATTAATTATTAATAATAATAAGTATTTAATAAAAATAAAATTATACGTGTTTATTTTAAATTATTATTAATAATTATAAGTTTAATAAAAATGTACACTATAATTATTAATTTAATAGTTAAATTTACAGTGTTTCCTCTAAATTTAGCTATTAAATAAAAAAAAATAGTTTCATGTGATTATTTCTGCATCATAATTTCTTTAAAGGATAATTTCTTTGAAAATTTTGTTTACTCAATAACAATCAATGCTTTTGCAAAATTAATTGTATGACTGAATCTTTATGGGTGAAAAATATAAATATCGAAAATTTTAGAAGTGCCTTTAAAGCTTTATAAAGTTTTTATATGAAATTGCAAGTATCATTGTTTTGCCATTTAAACGATCTTATTTCTCCTGCTAAATTGTGAGGGGGACCACTCTTACATTTTTCATATTACATATCAAAATTACATCTTAATTTGCGAGCTATTTTTTATTTTAAAATAATTGTGGTAAAATGTGCTTTTGTGGCGGAAGTAAATTTTAAAATATCTACCTTAGCACTTGATATTTCTAAACTAAACAGCCTAGGTAGAAAACTCTTTAAATTTCTATTTTTCTTTAAGAATCAATAAAAATGTCTCCAGGCTCAATAATATTTCAGATTGATTTTAGAGTCGAAAAACGTTTCCCAGTCCAGTTCACATGCATTTCGCCTTCAGCCTTTCAGAGGTCAATATCAGTTGGAATTCGATATGTTACATTACATTATGATAACATTTATATTGTCGTGATTTTAGCGTTGAGACATAGGTTAAAAGTGTTATTTCCGAATAATGAGTAGTCAAATATGTATTTTAATATTATTTCCTTTCCCATTCCAATCAATGTACTTAATATCTTACATATAATTACATATGTATTTTACATTTAATTAAGTTTCACGTGTATTGATAAGAAGAGAAACAAAACAAGATAAAAACATTCAGGTGCAAAACAATAAAAAGCTGTATTTTATCCATCAAAACATCATGACACAGCATTTTCGGGTCCAGAACCATTGAGTGTTTGTATAAAATTTCCATTCTTTCTCCATTAATATATACATACAATATTTTCAGACATCAAATATGCTTTTAAAATACCCTAAATTTAAGTAATGTTAAAGTCCGTAATCCTTATTAAGTCAGAACAAGATGATCATCCAGCATTTTCTTAAACACGTGACTGAATCGATGAGTTATGTTTTTAGAAAAATCATTCTTAGAGTAGAAGGAGTGTCTATTACAATAAAATATATTGACAAATATTCTGGATTTCTGAATTAGCAAAGAAAATGATAGTAAATGCAATAAATGATGATTTCAAAAGTACAGATCCTTTGAAAAACTGGTGATTTCCTCATAGTACATTTGATAAGTTTTTAAATGATATAACGAAGCAATATTTTTTAAATCATGTATCATAAGAAGTCTACAGTACTTGACAGCCAGGTAATAAGAATATTTTGACCATAACAAGATATCATAAAAAATTGTAGAATATTACATAAATTACATATCAGGAAATAGTTTGACATCAGATATTGTACAAAACATTTCTTATTTTAATTTTGTACATAAAAACAACAGACTTAACATTTATTACTTCATACCCAGTGTCCATTAGCTTATGGTTAACGGGTATATGCCTTTAAAAATATTAAACTAAATTTATTTTATAAACTGCTATAACGCCAATCAATAAGGCTAATAAAATTATGCTTACATACTTATTATTTATGTTTACTCTAAATGAAGATCACTAAGATTATTTTAATTGCATTTAGTATTTACACGAAAGACTTGTTTTTCAATGATTACATTTTCCATAATCATAGTTTTTCCATTTAGCAGGTTTCATAAAATATTCTAAATTCGACGAAGTCTTCTACTAAACTTATGTGTAAATACTCTGTGAAACTTAATGCATAACGTAAGAAAATTATATAGCTTCTGTCAAATTTTAATGTAAAATTCAAACTTTAACAGTGATATACTACGTAAATCAATTAGTACACATAATAATGCTTGCAATAAAGTGAAGTGGTATGGTGAAGTGGTAATTATCTTGAAAATAAATTAAATGTATAGAAAAGCATCAGCGTGCCAAAGTAAACATAATTCATCACTGTAGCTAAAGTTTATTATTAAAAGATTAGAGTTAATGTTAGCACAAAGTTGAAACAGTGAACGTAATTAAATAACTACTGAATTGAACATGGGGTGCATATTCAGTCAAAGATTATTTTATATTTAAAAATTATACTGGTGTTTATTAATATAGTATTTTTCAGATATCTTTAAATTTACCTTAGGTATTTATAACGTTACTTGGAATCACTTTTATTAAATTTTATTGGTTAAAATACCTTTCTGGTAGCAGTATACTTTTAATGTATATAGTCTATAATATTTTGCACTTCAGGTTCAATGCAAAGGAAAAACTTAAATGAGCAGTGACAACATTTTTTTTTCCATTTTATATTATGATCAGGACGACTAATATAATCTACATTTGCAGTTATCAATGATTCAGTTATTAAGGTCAGGCAGGTAGATTCCTAAAAATTTCTTTTTAATTATCGACTTTTATTTTTATGAGCAAAAAAATAAACCATAAATAGATATCTTTCTTACTACAAAAAATGCGCTATTCCTATGAACTTTTCACGCAAAAGGAATATGAGTAAACTAATTTAAATGTTTAATTTAATTAAAATTAATCAATTTTATAATTAATTTAAATTTTTAATTAAAAATTTTTGTCCTTTGAAGTATTTGCTGCTTGGTAGTAAATTTAACCCATAATAATTTTAGCTAGCGAGGTCAAATAAAACGCCAGAATTTTAGAGAATATGATATTGTTTTGTAGAAAATATTGCATAGCAAATAAAAGCAAATGTTGATTTTTATCAGAAAGTATAAACACTATTATTGTGAAAACTAAATTATGAAGTTTTGAGCACTTTTCCCATCTAAAAGTTAAGTAAACCAAAATAATAAAATTTAAGTACGCAAAATACGAGGATCCTCGTACAATTAGAGAAGTAGCAAATTAACAACTCTATTTAATTAAAAAAACGTAAGTGCATTTTCTGTGCTAATCCAGTAGATAGTCTTCAGTAAGTTTGTAAGATTTATGTTCTTTCAGTCCGAAATCACCACATTTGTAAACAAGTTTCAGGCACAAATTCCATCTTCACAGTTAAAAGTACTCATTCACAAGTTCGTTGTAACGTCTGTTACCGAAAGTATTAATCCCTAGAATAGACATTAATGTTCACATCAGGGCTTGATGGCAGTCGTGATAATTCAAGACATGAAAGTCTGTACAATAAGATGCTGTTTTTATTGAAAATATCCAAATATCAGCTTTGTTCTACGATATTTTTTATTATGCTTTGTCCTTGCACATGGAGATAAAAAAAGTCCGCTGTTTTGATAAATGGTGACATCACATTCGCGGTTTATTTCGCTGCAGGCAGCCCCCATCTCAGCATACCTCGCTGGTACCTTCTTGAATTGTCGTTACTGTGTAAAGAAAAACAGAAACATAAACTAATTATAAGTATTGAAATTTTTAGTAAGCAATTAAATTTTAATACTTCATGTCTAAAAAAATCCTAGGTACTAATTGTATTTTTAGTTTACAGCCATATTAATTAGAGCATGAAAATGATATAAATTGAAATATTTGAAAAACAAATTGCACGTGGTTCAGAATATTAGATAAATGCTTTACCGTTTAAAATAAAACGACTGGAAGACCTGTAATCTTGGGGAAAAACATAGAATAAAGAAATTTCGTCTTTCTTTTAAATTTTGCACATGCATAATGTGCTTCACATGATCTCAACAATGCAACAAATAAACAGTGTTTTATAGCAGAAAGATTATTATAAATTTTCAGACTTTATACATGAGATTAATGGAAATTAAAAGAGAATTTCGCAAAATGTTTGACATTTGAGGAGACTGCGGCATGGAATCTCAGGTCGTACTTTCGATTTATTTCAGTTAGTCCATCTAAACTAACCCAGTATCTGTTTTCAGCTCTTCTCTGCCTTCCGGTTGGCCTACTTATCAGTAAACCAATATACTTCAATACGAATAAGTCAAGAGATGATAAGTCAGGGGAAGGCCAGGCAAGTTCTTTCGCAAATGATTTGGGAAGGCTTTTAGAACGACACGGTTGGTGGAGTAACTTCTGAGCAAGTTCCAGAACGTCGTCTTTGAATATTTTATTTTCCAATGACGGACCCTCAGCCGATTTCGGCTAGGCCACTACTACGGCCAGAACTGGTGTTATTGTAGCACCTAACATGTGGGACACCTTTGCCTCCTATGAAGGGGCGGTCCCTCAGGTACCGTTCTGTGTCGTCCGCGTCATGCGACAAAAACTCTAATGTCTGGCGAAATCCAAGTTCCATAATTATGAAAGGACGGACACTTACAACCATGCCTTCTCCGGAATTCGAATCCGGGCCCTTTGCTGTCGCAGTCGGCTCCACTAACCACTATTCAATCTGTTCGCCACGCCTTTGAATATGGAGAATTCTATTTTTCTGAAACCATGAGTCTTGAACCATTATTTCAGGTTTTTCGTTGGATAGAATCCGATAATTTTGGTGACTGACTTATGAAACCAACCAGAAATGTGTCTCATCGGAAAATGATATCCTCAGGATTGAAACTAAGATCAGTCATTTGACGGATGCTGATACCGAAATGCAGTCTTTTTTAACTAATCAAATGTTAAGCAGATGTATTATATAGCTCTTAGTCTATTATTTTCTTGGATTCTTGGAAGTAGTGATGATTATAGTCGTCCATGCTGCGTTTTATTGGGCCCTGCATATGTCATCTTTCTCATCAGCCTCTCAAAATTTTTTATTTCAAATTTGTAAGTAATGCATATAATTAAGTATTAGCTAGGCATACGTTAATTCCAACAGACCAATCAATGTTTTCACAGTTGGCACAAATAAAACCTTTTCGACTAAAACCTATCGATTGTCATTAAATTGAATACAATTGAACTGCCTGCAACTGAATAGCGCTCCAATTAATATAAATAAAAAAATTCGAGCGAAAACGTTTACCTACGTAGATAAGCCTCTGCGTTATTGTACGAATTTGGTGATACCAGCTTTATATGCATTGACACGTTATTCAGGTAAGACATTAGTGAAATCTATAGAAGCGCGCCATACAAACGCTCATACGTATGTTCGTTCATACATTGCATACGTATATGTTGTAAGGATCTTAAGTTTTACTAACGTTTATTTTATTTTAAATCTTTACTATCACTTCTTATTTTCTACTTCCGGCCAGAATTATAAGCGTGAAGGAGTTTATGCAAAGTTGTCTGGCGAACGCCAAGTATTTAAGTGTGGCCTTTTTGCCAAGCAGAAGAGAGGAAGCCGTGAGTTCGAAGCAGGCCGCTTACCTTAGAAGTTACGCAGTTGCTACTTTGCCTTCCAGGCCAGAGGTTTTAATCCTCTTGATAAATTAAACGTATTGTAGTGTTCACAGTCTCTGTGCTACATACGCTTTCTGTTATTATAAGGCCAATCTTATTCTAAAGTTAAATTAGAGTTTAGTTTATTTTGATATCTTTTAAGTTAGACCCCGAGTGGAGGGTCATTGTATTCCGAAGTACGGAAGTCATTGTATATAAAGAAAAAATAAAGGGTTTTGTATACCCTTCGTCTGTATCCTGTCTACTTACTACAATTAGTGAACATAGCTTTAGTAAGCTCTCTGTTCTAGTCAGGTCATTGTATGTTTCCGAAGAAGGCAAGAAGAAACATTGAACCTGATAGTGGCGCCCGACGAAGAATAACCATGGCCGAGTTTAAGAAGAACCTGTGCTGCCTGCAGAAAACAGCTCAGAATCCAGAAATGCCAGCTGCCGCCCTGGAAGGATTTGGGTATATTGTCCAGACCATGCGCGCTTCGATGAAACCAGAAGCAACGTTTAATGGAAACTCACAGGTAACCAGTTTTTTTGGAAAAATTGGATGACCACTTCATGCTCTACCCCGTGCACGAGTTTCAAAAAGTTACCTTAGCTACCAGCGCTTTGAGGGGCCAAGCGCTTAACTGGTTCAAATGTATCGGCAGAAGTCTCTTGGGTCAAGCAGGAAGTCCCACCTATACCTACGAAAATTTCAAGACTGCCCTACTAAAAGCCTTCCCTGTTGTAAGGGATCGTGCGAAATTAGAAACAGAACTTTTCAGTATATATCAACAAAGAATGGAAAACATCTCGAGCTTTATTTTAAGAAAAATTCACGTTTTCAAGCTCTTGTATGGAAACCGTCCGGATCCTGAAATAATTCAAGTGATTTTGCCGAGGTTACTACCCCAAGTGCAAGACTTTATTGAATTGAGAAATCCGACTACACTGGAAAAATTATTTGAGCTAGCAATCCAGTTTGAAAGTAGAAGAACGGCGGACGTCGAAAGAAGACGCCAATATCAACAGCGAAACCAATTTGGTACGCCAAGACTACAGCAAACTCAAGCACATGGCTACGGAGAAAAAGCGAATCAGTGGGCAAGGAAACCCGAGCATTCAAAAACAGCCGGCGAACGTCGACAGTTCAATAGCAACCCAGGAAAAAAGTCTCAAGGCCAGTGGAGAAAGAAGGAAAGCACCGAAAGAAAAAATAATTTAAACTAAAACGGATTTCTGCTGACGAGAGGGTGCGGAAATCCGAAGGCCACGAAAACCCCTCTTCCTACAAGTTAAATACAGTAATGGTGAAAAATTTAACTCTTCCGAAGATTGAAGTCTTGGTAAATAATATCCCGGCCACCGCACTCCTGGATACCGGCGCGCAGTGTTCCTGTGTGGCAGAAGTCTTTTTTTAGAAAGTATTTTCGCAAATACCGCATATATAATGCGGATAATACAACAGTATTAGCGGCGCAAGGAGAACAATGTAAGTGCGTAGGTAAAGTACCTTTGTACATCCGTATCAAGGACGAACAAGTAAAGGTGATGTTTTTTATAGTAAAGAATTTGCAAGCACACTTAATACTAGGAATAGACTTTCTTTCAGACGCACAAGCTACACTGGATTTTAATGAAGCGTCTCTTAAGCTGACGATGAAACCAGTGCGTGTAGAAAAGGTTGAACCGCCGAGGTTAAATCTTGACCACCTGCCTAATGACGAGCAAGATAGAATCCGACAAGTGGTAAGTGAATTTGCTTCCTTATTTAGTGATATTCCAGGATTTACCCAGGTTACTAACCATAGTATTGACACCGGAGATGCATTGCCGGTTCGTCAAAAACCATACCGGTATGATAAGAATAAGGAAAAAATTATAGAATGGCATATTACCGATATGCTACGTAAAAAGATCGTAACGCCTATCTCAAGTAGTTATGCTAGTCCGGTGGTTTTATGTAAGAAAAATAATGATTATCCTTTGGAGCATCCAAAAAGGTGGAGATTCGCTATTGATTACCGTAAATTAAATTCCATAACGAAATATCCGGTATATCCGTTACCGATTATAGAAGAAATTTTAAGGAACATAAAATCACCAACCAAATTTATGACAACTTTAGACTTAACGAATGGTTATTTTCAAATAGGGATCAGGCCTGAGGACGTGCCTAAGACTGCTTTTATAACCAAGTCTGGCACTTATGCATTTTTGCGAATGCCGTTTGGCCTTTCAGGCGCCCCAGCAACATTTCAGCGATGCATGGACATTGTGTTAAGACCTGTTCTCGGAAAGTCCACATTTATCTATTTAGACGATATCATTATTACTAGTGATAATCTAGACCAACATGTACAGGATTTAAGACAGGTGTTTTCTTTATTAAATGAGGCCGGTCTAAAAGTTAATGTCGAAAAGTGCAAATTTGCAGCCCCTGAATTAAAATATTTAGGTTACAAAATATCGCAAAAAGGGATCGAGACAGATGAATCAAAAATAATCGCTGTACAAAAGTATCCGACTCCAAACACGGCAAAGAAGCTCTCTTCTTTTCTAGGACTTTGTTCATATTATAGGTCCTTTATAAAAGATTTTGCGGCTATCGCTGAGCCATTGTTAAAATTAAAAAGGAAAAAGGCAAGATTCTCGTGGACGGCCGAAGCCAATAGTGCTTTCGAAAAATTAAAACAAGCATTAACGCAAGCCCCTGTGTTGAAATTTCCTGAAAAGGATGAAAATTTAGAAATTTCAGCGGATGCTTCGGATTATGCGGTAGGAGCGGTACTTTCGCAAAATCAGCAGCCAGTGGCATTTTTTAGCCGAACTTTAAATCAAACACAAAGAAACTATTCCGCGACCGAGAGAGAGGCACTTGCAGTTCTGTTAGCAGTGCAAAAGTTCCGAGTCTATTTTGGAAAGGCGCCGATAACAGTATATTCTGATCATGCGGCGGTAACTAGATTGTACTCTGGAAAAAATTTATCCCCAAGGTTAATAAGATGGGCACTCAAGCTGCAAGAATATAATCTGGTAATCAAGCATACCCCCGGAAAGGAAAATATCG